AAGTTGCTTTAAAGAAGCACGTTTTGCCCACTTCGACAGACCAGAACTGAAGTGATACCGGCAACGAACGAGAACTGACCTCTCCAATCATTTAGCTGATGTTGATCACTACGTTCTTCATTCATTCTATTGTTGAGAACCGCTTTCTTGTGAAAAAGTGAGTAATGTTAAGACAATAAATATCAGTGGTGTACTAGGTAATGATGGCAATAAACCATGAAATGACAAGAGGAGGTAGAACTACCTGAATAAAACTCATTATGAGAGGATAAATGATCAAACAGAATTGCAATTTAGCAAAATGCGAGCAGTGCTATACTAAAGACAGCATTTCCTGTCAAAAGTAAATTATGTAGTGATGTGGCAAAGCAGTCAATATCGTTGACCAATCTCTAAACGTTCATCGAATAGAGGTGATCATCTCATAACAATTATTCATAACAAACTTGCTTCCAATAGCTTATAAATCATTCCGTTTACATATTATGAGTTTGAACGAGAACCATTCCAAATCGAAATTACTACATTCAAAAATGAGGACCATTCCTTGACTATCAATTTTTAATTTCTTCAAACATGACAATTGAATAAACGCATTCAAGAGTAAAACAGTTCATTGGAACAAAAGAAACGTGCAAGTGTTCTGTTCCAGAAGGAAAGCGAACCCGTTCCTGAACGTTCCCCAAATAATGTCCTGATTTTCACTAATCTGATGTGTGAAATTATCACGCAAATGAAAAGGCACAGCTGTTGAGCACTTGAAAAGATTATTTGATTGAATAAAAATGTGATTGAACAACGAACACTGCTTTTCTTGATTATTTTTAATCTCGCAGAAGACCAATTGTAGGAGATTTAAGTGTAGACGACTTTAAATGCAGTTATTTGCACGAATTCGACAAAGTTGCATGAATGGATATGTACTATTAGTTCACTCCTATTGATCATCGAATGCATTCATAATGCCATCTTTCAAAAGATGCATCCAATACGGCGCATTATTCCATACTTCGCTATTGCATTCAAAAAATAATCCCTCTCTGAACGAGACTTGTGGGTATAACGCTTACATGAACGTAGCGTTCACATCCAAAGATTGAATTTAAATGAATCTCACATTAAAGTGGGGACAAAATTACATTTTCCAGAGAACGACATATTCAAATCTTGTGATTCTTAATCTACATATTTAATCTTTCTATCGAAGAATATTCAGTACCTGGACGGAAGGAAACCTCTTTGATCAAATATTTCGTATCGTGATTTTTCATCCGTGACATTTCTATAACAAACGCATTTAGCATAAATCAAACGGCGTAATTAATATTTCATTTCGTGTGACGTTGCTGTAACAAACGATTAGCGCACAGCTAACTATAATACTAACCCCATCATTCAACCGAGCACAACACAAATTCGAACAACCGCAACAATATGAAAACATAATACCGTATCACAAATCACTTAACAAAAATGCTCTTTTCCATCACCATATTGGATCCTAATATTAAGATTCGCGACCTTCGTTTCAATATCTTTAACGAAATGCTGTACATAAGCTAAGGCGATCAACTCAATTCAACCACTTATTAAATTCGAATTGCCTCGGATTAACTACGCATGATGTTGAGCAGAATTGTTAATCAAATGCGTTCAACACGAACAAAAATGTCAAAGCGAACCACATTATCGCATAAAAATATGTTATCATATTCAATAATATTGCAAGATAGTTGTGGGTATCTGTTCACAGCAAGTAAAGCTTTCAGCTTGCGAGACAGCGATAAGAGGTCTGATTCATTCGATGCATCTGCTTATCTTACTGCCAATCAATTATGACTCTTATCAGGAAAAACAACGCATTTACTAGCTTCAATTTTGGTTTCGAAAAAGATATTTTCTTAAATGCACGATCGACATAAATGTCCAGGCGTATCTTTATAACCGTGAACCTGCAGCGATCGATCGTCGAAACACTGAAAGAAAATCGATTAAGTCAGCTTGCTGAAGTGAAATAAAACTATCTGAGCTTGATGAAAAGAAAGGCGCGCATTTCACGGCTCATCTGCCTACTTCCAAAGGCATCACTCATGATGAAGCAGTGAATGAAGAGTGCACCGTGATAACCGATATTCCAAAAAAAACATCAAACCGTTTTCTAATTCGTCCATTTCCTCATGAACAACGCCTCTAATAACAAACACATAAATACATGCGATTATAAAAGTCACATCATTACGCAAGCTTATAAGAAACCGTGCATTTCTGCGTCTGTTTTCGGCCTCAGAAAAAAATTCCACTGTGTTTACAAGCTTTGGGTGCGTTTTCGTTCATAAGCGAGTTTCTCCACTGTTTTTGAGTTATTCCAGGGAAAACGCTGGAGGTGGTATTGGTGGCAAAACCATTGAGTGGCAGAGGAAGAAGTACAAACTTCCCATATCTTAGGACGTGATATTCAAGCAATCTTCATAATCCCTTCATCAAAAAAAAAACCACAACATTCTTCATCTCTGACCGAAGAAAACTTACGCGTTTGTGCGCAGGTTCCCCAGGTAAACTATTACTCATTGCTATGTACACATTGTTTTCCCGCAAATGACCGTAATTCTTCGTTTGTTTGGAGATGATTTAATTTTAGCCTTCTATGGTCTAAACAGTAAAAACGACTGAATGATGCAACACGCCTCCTAGGACAGTTATGTATGTAGAATCCGAAAACATAATTCCTTTCTCCATATTGCTCACTGCTGTCGTACTAGTGCACGAATTGTTTCTCGAGGTGAGCAATATCTTTAACCAGCGAATCACGTCTACACCTAATCAAGAAGTCATTTGTTTTACGTTTTGCTTTGTTCATTACACAGGGCTTTTCTACATCTTCATTCATCATGTTTCATACAGTTCACGTTCCTAAGTGTTCAGTGATTTGCGAGAAGTAGTCTAAAAAATTCAATCTGATACTTCGCAAGTTTAATTCCTTTTCGCAGCAAATCGGCATTGTATATGTGATTGCAAATGAAAAGCAAGTTCTTCATCTTATTCGAGATTCCAACAATAGT